GGCCGGCGCTGGGGAGCGCCGCGCAGCCCGCGGGCCGAGCTGTCATGAAAGGCCTTCTTGGGGCACCCCAGCGGAGCCCTCGGTAGCTTTGGGAAGAAGCGGTTTCAGTTTCAGATGATGTGATTTCAGAAATGTTCAGTTTTTAATAAACTAGGAGAGTTATAAAAGCCTTTGCGAGCCATCTTTCTTGGAGTCGTACACGTAAATCTTCTTTTATGGTTTGAATTATGAGATATGAATTCTCTTGTGTATTTTAAAAGGTATAGTTTCTTCTTAAGATACGTTAGATGTTTACGGTAGGATCATGCATCTTTAAGGGATGTTGAAATTCTCTGTGAAGTGCTCTGCAAATGATCTGGCGAACTTCTCAAGGTAACCGACAGGTAGATCGTCTAAATTAAAGCAGACTTTCTGAACTCTAGTATTATGAAATCTCTGCAGAGCTGTTCTGAGGACCTTGCGGTCACTTTCAGTTTTGGCGGTCTCAAAGTTTCAGAATGGGATTTTTATTTATTTGAAATGGCAGAATCTTTATTTTGAGCTTAGATGGCTTTTGAAAACATGGAGATAAAGTTGATGCGCACACATTCATAGTGCATTGACATGAGTTTTTTATCCTCTGAAAAAGTACTAGTGTCACTAATAGATACTGCAGATACTGTACTGCTTTATCTCACCATACTAAGTCATCTTAAGTTTTTAAAAACTAAGATTAATGTTGAACTTTTTTATAGCCATGCAAGAAACGGCGAGAGGAAGATACTTCCATAAAAACAATCACAACATATTTTTCACCATTAGCAAAACCGGTGGATAAAGCGTTGTCACCACCAAAACCCAACAATATATTGGATTATTTTAAAAAGACGTCTGTAGCTGAGAAAGCTCCATTACCAGTTGTAGCTGGAGAAAATAAACCACCGTTGGATGCTGATGACAAAGACTGTAAGTCACCTTTTCAACCACCTTTAAAGCGGAAGAGGAAAGGGAAGAGAGTTAGTTTAAATAATAAGCTAAGAGAGATGAAAGAATCTGAGAATGAACATGACATAGAAATCAGTAGTGATGACAGCAGAGAAACAACAGGACTGAAACAAGACAGAACTGATTTTATTGCTACTTGTACTTTAGTTGACCAAAAATGTGCAAGAGAATTAGCAGAAGATAATGTGCAAAGAGAAAACTTCTCAAATGCTGTCATCTACAGAAAAAATGCGAAGAAAGTTGGTTCTGAAATAAATGAAACAAAAAATAGGATAAGAAAATCAAGGAAAATGAAGCACAAAGTAAATATGGATTCGTCTGAAAGTTTTTCATCTGAAAACCAGCTGAATGAAAAGTGTAAAAAGGAGACAGAAGATAAGAAAAAGATGGTATCTCCTACAATAGCAGTGTGTGACATTACTATTAGTGACTCCAGTTTTGAAGTTCATACGGGTGATAAGACATCACAGGTAAATAATGGTACAATAACGGTGTCATTTGAGGACTTCTTGAAGAGTCAGGGAGAAAATAATGTGGATTGTGTTGAAGAAGACACAAAGCCAACAATGGACAATTCTGCTACAGCAAATGAAACGGACAAAAGTGATAGTATTAGTGACCCAGAAAAGTGTGAGGAATCTCAACAGCTGCCACTTAGAACAGTAACTGTCCTTGCACAAGTTCATTCCATTCCCCCAAAATTAGCTCCTTTACATAAGGAGCAAAAAGGCTCTAGGAAAATAGCTTCTATTTTTTTGAAGCAGAAAGGATGCGTAGGGGAAAAAGAAAGTAGCCCACCCCTCTTGGACAATGAACAAACTGAACAGGTTACTCAAAAAAGAAAATCTAATGTAGTTATTGAGGAAGAAGAATTGGAGTTAGCTGTGCTAGAGACCACAGGGTCTGATTCTTTGAAGCCAAAATGTACTCTGGAAGAAAGGCATCAGTTTATGAAGGCTTTTAGACAACCAATATCAGATGTAATAAAAAGTGGAGTTAAAAAGGCACCCGGAAAACAAAAGCAAGCCATTGGAAAGCCTTCAAAAGAAAAAGGAGGACCTGAAGATGACATTGCTTCAAATAAAGGATTAGAAAGTGGA